GGGATGCGAATAGGCGTAGGATTTTCTTTTCCCGCATCGCTCTTTCGCACGCAGATATGGTGATTTCAATTTTGAATTGGTTTAGGATGTGGGCAAGTTGTAACTCTTTCGGTACCTTTTTCTTTCTTTTTGTTGACGGCGCCGCGCAAGCAAGCTTTCTCCTCTCTGTTCCCCGCATCCCTCTCTCCCGCGCTCCTTTCTCTTTCCCCCTCCTCCTTCTCCCTCCTCGTAACTGTTTTTCTCACTCTCGCTCTCTCTCCCGCTCCACTCTTTGCGCGCCCATTTCCCTTTCTTAATCACCTGAATCTTGGACTCGTCTTGCGCTACTTCTCGCGCCTTTTCTTTCTCGCCCTTCGAACAAAGCTTGTGAAGTCCGGTCGATCCTTCGATTACTCTCGCCCACCAATCATACGGTAAGATCTGCCTACTGCGCGACGAGTCTGATTGCCCAGAGGCCGAGTTCCGAAGGATCAACTTGGCTTTCACGAAGCGCTCTTCTCAAAGTCTTCTCCTCCTGCTTCTCCTCTTACACTTTAACTTTCCCCCTGCATTTTCCCCCCCTTGTCTCCCTTCTCGCTGCTATAAATTCCACAAGCGCACCCGCAAATCTCTCTTACGTTTTCGACTCCCAAACCAGCTTCCGAAAAGCAGTGGCTAGGCAGAGTGTTTGGTGCGAGTCGAAAAGTCCTGTTTGGCTGATGATAGGTTGGCCGGTTGCACGCTTGATCGTCACGACGGACTGTGGGATCTAGGCAAACCGTGTCGAGTTTACGTCGGCGGGGTGACGATCGCAGTGGTGGGAATGAGCACGCGACGGCCGGGATCGTCGGTGTGGGCACGAGGACCGATTGATTGCAGTTGAGTGAGTGATTGGCCCGGGGCCATATTGGAATTAACGGCGAATGCGCCTCTGTTGTTGCCGATTTTTATCTCTGGCGTGAGTGCACGGTGGCAATGTCGAACCTCCTCTTTTTCGATCTTGTCGTCCTCTATCTCGACACTTCTCCCTCGTCTCCTTCTCTCCGCTTCGTCAATAAATGATGATGTGTCCGATGTTTGACTCTCTCTCTCTCTCTCTCTTCGATGGAAATGACTCTGTGTGCTCTCCTACGTGAAATACCTTCTTCCGGAACTCTTCCATTAGTTACCTGGGTAATCCCTAGATGCTGAGGAAAATAATCCTCTTGTCTTGTGATCGGCGGATGCGTGTGTACCGTTCCTTTGGTTGATTTCCGATTTGTGTACCCTGGTCATTTTTTCACCTTCCACAGTGAATGAATGTATGGGGATGCTTGCCTTTTTTTTATTGGACGCCGCACTCAGCGGGATTTTGTTCGAGAATGCAAGAGTGTTTAGATCTGCAGTTTTGAATGCACTGCGCATGCCATCTGCCTTATGCTGCACGACATCTGCAGCCGATCTACAGGGCAGCCTCGAGAAATAAGGCGCCTGGGATCAACACCGTGGTTGCTTATGGAAACCTGAGACGCGGGTCGGTCCCTCAGTTACATGCATGATCGAGCTGATGAGTGTTCTCTCCCTCTCGTGTCGAAAAGGATTGATTGGTGATTGCGCGAGTATTCTTTTTTTTTTGATTGATTGACATGTGGACTGACAAGCCCCCTTCGATCACGCGTCAGCCTCCCGTACCTCCCGTATCAACACGACCTTTTCCCTACAACGAGGAAAGAACACGTGTATGCGAGTGGGACGTTCGAGAAGCTGTCGGACAGATCGGCGGGCGATATTACTTCCCTCCGGCAAAGCGTTGTTCAGGGTTCAGAGAGGCTGGGTTTGTCATTATCGATACACATTTTCCACCTTACTCGATATTGTTGCCATTCACAAGTTGATCGTCATCCCGTGGACGGCAGTAGAACCCCATTGGCCACGCGCCCTATGCACCGAATGCCAGCGCTTTGAGCGCTACGAATCCAGGGGTTTCCACTACCGTGTGCGGAGTGAGGACGAACATAGAGAAAGAGCCACGCGATTAAGACCCTCCACATCGGATGCAGAACTGGTCAGTGAACGACGACGGGACTTGATACGGAAGCGAGACACGCGAAGCGTACCGAAGCCCTTCCGTTCTAAACGACTGGCCGTAGCCAGGTGGGAAGTCCGCCAATATTTTTTGGATTGAATTTGTATTTTTCACTCCTCTCGCGCTAAACGATCAGCTCACTTCACCGGACCAACACGGCGGATTTCAGTTCCGTTTGTGACCCCACACTCAATTTCCAAAAATCTTTGGCACACCCCATCGTGCTGTTTTTCTGGGCCTCTTTCCGCACATCTAGCACTCCGAACGAAAGACGGCACAGGGCGTGAGGTTCCCTGCGCGTCACATCAGCAGCGGATTTCCCGGCAGATGGTCACAAGACCCTCCTTCAATGGATGGTCATCAGGAGGTCGATCGCGTTCTCACGCATCGCAAGCATGGCAACAAGCCGATGCAGTACAAAGTTACATTCAAGCAATGCGATCCAAACGAGACACGCTGGAGATCTGAAGGCGACAACACCCCTCATCTTCGCGCATTACGAAAAACAGTGAGTTGCTAAGGAAGCTGCCCAACCTGCCCGCCCTGTACGGACATCGGACAGACAGCTTCGCCCTCGCAGTTAGCTCGGTCTTTCAAGGGGGGAAGTGTGTGGCATACTGAGCCACACGGGCCCCAGTTAGGGCCCGGTTCCAAACAAGCAGGGTAAGCCTAAGGGACGACGGTTCAGACCAGGCCCAAACAGGCCAAAGACAGGGCACGTTTAGGCCCAAACGGCCAGAGGCCGGTACCGGTTCAGATTGGAACCTACCGGCGGCGTTTCAAAGGCTGCCCACAGTTTAGGCGCCAAAGTCCAGTTTGAATCTGGACCGTCAATCCGATCAACGGTCCAGGCCGGTAGGTACCAGTAGGCAAGAGGCCGGCCCAGCACTACGAAGCCTGGGTACCAGCCTCAGTCCGGTAGGTTAGTATGGACGGAGTTAGACTTCAGGATTAGCGCAGCAGCCCAACGTTAGCTCGATTAGCGCAGCGCTGCAGCACAGCGAGGAGCAGCGAGCGAGCAAGAGTTCAGCAGCGAGGAGATTAGCGCAGCACTACTTACCAGCCCAGCCCCTTGTGGCCTCATAGCCAGGTACCAGGGAGGAAGGCTTCGCCTTCTCTCCCTTCTCTCCTCTACCGCTTCTCTCTCTCTCTCTCTCTCCCCCTACCTTCTAAGTCTCTACTTCTACTTGTCCTACAGAACTACTACAGTATGGGAGATGGTTATGAATTCTGATGACATCTGAGACAGCAACATTGGGACTACAAGTTGAGGGCTATTTGGGGATCTGATGCATCTTCCTTTCGAAGATGTACTTGACATTGTGAGATTGATATGTGGGATACTGTGAGACCTGGCATTCGCGACATTTCGGATTTCCGTCACCTCTGGCAATTCAAGAGTTGACGTCATCTTCCCTCTCCTCTTCTTCGTCTCTCTCCTCTCCCCCCTTCGTCCGTGGATGATCTCAGTCCCTGGCCCTTCGTCTATGTCTGAGGCCAGGGCATTCACACCCCTGATGAATGTTTGAGAGTGTTCGATTGCAGTCCAAGTCAGGTCTGAGTCAGTCCAAGGTATCTCAAGTCTTCCGCTTGCATTTGTATCAACTATGTATTATCTGGTCGGTTCTGGGAATCTGCGCCATACTTCTGACTGTGTTTCACGAGTATGCAACACTTACAGTTGCCACAACAAAAATGAGAACTTTTTTGTCTTCTTAAACCACCAGTACTTGGCCCAGCTATCGATGCCGAGCCCGGAATGCCCCTGCACGCCAATTTTTGCCGAAGCGCCGGGGTACCGTTTCATTTTTTTTTTGGCTGGCCCTTCCAGCCATTGCGCTCCAGTACCCTGAAGCCCTAAAAGCGTGGCGCGTTAACGGGGAAGCGCTGCAGCCAATGGCTGGGCCAAGTACTGGTGGTTTAAACCACCACTACCCCTGCCGTCATAAATTAAGGGGGACCAGTAGCACAGGTCCATGAGGGCTACCGGTAGCACAGTGGGGGGAACTGGCGGAGTAAAAATTGAAAATTTCGTTCAATTTCCCCCGCGACTTATTTTGCTGTTAAAATGATTTTTATTTATTTATTTAAATATTTTTCCTATAAAGATCGCGACAAAATCTATAAACCCTCGAATTTTCAAAGTTGCTGAGTCATCCGTCTGAGCACAAAAAATTGCAAAAAGTTGGGTTACTTTTCCCGTTTGGCCCAGACTGGTAGAATGGCAAAAATGGAAAATGCGACGAAACAGCGCAGCATTTATTTTACAGTCTAAATTCTGTTTTTCATTTATTTATTTATTTTTTTCCTGGAAATATCACAACCTAATCTACAGGATATCAAATTTTCAGATTTTTTCGCTCATTCTTCTGAGCGTGACAAATCGCCAAAGTTCGCACTTGAAAATTTTTGGACCGGACCCGCCTGCGCCTGCCAGTCGCCCCCCCCCTTAAGAACCCGGTCCGTAAGGCCAGGAAAAACAAATTTAGGCCCGTGGGGGTAGCGGTGGTTTAAACCACCAGTACACCCGAGGCTAAATGTACGAACCTAGATTTGAATTTTGCTGAGCCAGCAAGCGGTGGATACAACCAGTGGGAAAATTCAGGGAAGTACCGGTACCGCCTTCTGTGTTGGACCTACCGCCAGCAGATGGAACAAAAAGGAGGGAGGCTGTATATTTCTCGTTCTCACTCATACCCCACCCCAGGCCTGACTATAATTGCGGTCAGATACATTCATGAAAGTGGTATAGACTGTGCACTGAACCGATTCCTCCCTGCCTCTCACGCCAAGGAGGGCTGTCAGAAAGGGCCTCTTGAAAACTTCCACTAAGCTCTAAACGTGATTGTGGCCATACTCATCCAGGCGTTCGTGTCTGTGCGGTCAGATACATTCTCCTCATGCTAGCAGCCCGTGTCTCTGTGAGACAGTTTTTTCTTTCCTTTCTTTCCTTTCTTTGCTTTTTGCCGTTTGTGTTTTCCTCCCTTTGGAATCCGTGATGATTATGCTTGTGTCAGTTGTACACCCATGGACTGTTGAAATACAGACCAAGGTTCGACGCGTGATGCAAACAATGAGCTTACCATGGGCCACTCAATCTGGACGTGGAGATCGTGAACAGCCTATGGTGAGTTCATTGATTGCACCTAGAGTCAAACTTGGGTTTGTATTTCAACACTTCATGGGTGTGCCAACAGACACGAGTAATAAGAGTACTAAAGGAAGAAGAAAAAAATCACGAACCTGGATCTATATCCGGCGCTATTCCAAGCCCAGATGCAGAGGATTTCTCAACGCTGCTGCCAGCACCCACCGAGACAGGTAAGTTGGTCGTCGTTTTTCTCTTCTCTTTTTTTGTTGTAAGGGCAGACGGGCACATATACAAGACTGGCCAAAGAAACTGAGCTGGCGCCCATTGAAACAGGCGCCTGCCTCGCTTCTGGAGACGTTCTGTCTCCACAAATGAGACAATCGCCTGTTTCAACAGGCGCTTGCCTTTTTTTTTTTTTTTTTTTTTTTTTTTTTTTTTGTGTGTGTGTGTGTGTGTGTGTTTGCCCTTGCCTCTCAGACGCGTGTTTTTTCACATGCACGGTCTGAACCAGAAGAACATCTCACAGTCCGTTTTCCTTTTTCGTTGGGCCTATGGGCTTCCTATCCCGTTGCTCGTCCAGGCCTTCCCCGAGCCCAAGAATGTTCTTGTGACGACAAGTTCATTTTTCGTGCAAGGCTGGGGCCGTGTACTGGTGGTTTAATGGGGTAGTTTTAAAAAGGTCTCATCTCATCCTTTTGGCTAAGATTGTGTCATGTCTGTTCTGATCAAATTTAATATAGACTCTGGTGGTCCATCGGACAAACAAACAAAAAAAAAGGGCAAAATAACAAAAAGACGGCGCACTCACGAAAGCCACTCAAAGCAAGATGTGACATTCGACGAAGTCAAAGAAACATGTCATCAGTCAAACAACCCCAGCAAGTCAAACAAGCTGTAGACCTACACTGCAAGTCAAACAAGCGCAACCAGCTCCAGCTCGGTAAACTTCAGCCGACCAAACGGCACTCTGCAAGGAATACAAGAAACGGTCCAGAAAAATTAAAAAGCAATGCGCGTGAGAAGGAAACAAGCAAGCAAACAGACGGCCGAACAGCATAAGAGGACGTGATACTACATAAGCACAGAAGCAGGTTGAACTCAGTAAAAAAAAAAGCCAAAGCAGGCAAACGATACAATTTTGCTGGTGGGATGTTTAGGTCGGTGCCATGGCAGTTTTGACTCCGCCATGCGACAGGGAGGGAGAAGTACACCACACCAACCACCGCCGAACCCCACGACCACCGCATCCGCAACAGGTCTTTTTCGTCGCCGCAGGCAGCATGGACAGGTCTTTTTTAACCGGACACACAAAGGAGGGCGTAGGGTGGACAAGAGTCGATCGCACCAAATCCTCAAAGCAATCATTGTCAATCAGGAGAGACTTTAGGAAAGGAGAAATTACAATTAGGACAACAACTTGTACTCTACAGAATTCTGAACCTTTTGGTTTGTTTGTGTTGAAACAAACAGCTGAGGATGGAATCTGGATCACATCCAGTAAGACGACGAGCGCTACGCCACCAAGTCTTGGCCCGAGAGAATGAAGAGGGACCGTTGACAGGGACCAGCTGGTTTACATTCTGGATCTAAAACGGACAAAATTTTGCGGCGAACTGGCAGCTGGAATACCCATCTACACCAACCAGATGTGTGTAAGCGCTGCTGCTGCTCCAGGACCTGCCGAGGAGATAGCACTTCAACAAGCGATGAGCTCGTTCTCGAAATCGCAAAGTACAACGAACTTCGCATGGAAGGCGGGTGTTTCAGGAGTAAACAAGCCTCCTCCTGCGCGACGACTACTCTCGGGAACCCGACTTTTCCCGTCACAGCAGACGAGAAGAACCAGCCGTCTCTCCGCAGTGCCGTACACACTTACCCAGTTGCTTTTCCGCCCGCCGTCACTCGGCCACAGCATTAGCTTGGTCAGCCAGCTGCTTTTTCAACGGAAGTGGACGCAGCTACCCCGCCCCAGCATAGCGCACAAGAACCACCCACTTCTCCCAATTGGTGGCACGAGGTAGAACGGAGAACAGGGGATGGTAGGGGGATAAGGACACCAAAATGTCCTGACATATACCAGATAGAAAAATTGCCAATCACCTGAGCAGTTTGCCGTCATCTTCCGGAGCGCATAGCGGATGCTCACGACTCCATAGCTTCTGTTTGTTCCTCCGTGACCGTCACCTTCACCTTTGTCGCCGTCTTCGGCAGTGTGAGGCTTGGGTCCGCCAACATTGCTATCGGCGCCTTGACGAGGTGAATTCCTTGCTTGAGCTCGATGGCCGCCGCCTTCTTGTCCATCTTCTTCTTTCCCTTCATCCTGCAATTTACACCAGGGAACAAGACAGGACCAATTTGTTTTTCAGAATTTGACCGGCGATCAGTGCTGGACTATCGTTCACATGGACGGAGCTGAACATCTTTTTGCTGAATCGATTTGAAATGGATAATCATAAAATATTAAATGCAGAAAAAAAGAAAAGAGAAAAAGATAATCATATACTGAGATTATACTCTTTTTTTTTTGTTTTGTTTTACCTTCTCTCAAATTCACCTTTCTCTACCTACCTACCACTACTCCTCTAAGCCTACACAGGAGGCCCCTGCAATTGCATGAAACTCCATGAGTTATTAGGCCTTTCAATCATAAAATATTAAACACAGGAAAAAGAAGAGAAAAAAAACATAATCATATATGATTTAACAATTTGCACAATCCCACTTTTTTTTTTAACCAATCCCACTCTTCTACGCCGAGCTGGACCTCATGTTCGAAAGAAAAAACAAACTACAAAAATAGAGAAAGTGGACCTCGTGTGCATATCTTCGCATTCCTTCGGAGCTAAATCCGAATAATGAAAAAAAAAAAAAAATCCAAAAGCCAGTAGAACAGTTGCAGAACTCAACAGCTCAACCCATCTACCTCTGACAGATAAATAATCTCTCTCTCTCTCTCTCTCTCTCTCTCTCTCTCTCTCTCTCTCTCTCTCTCTCTCTCTCTCTCTCTCTCTCTCTCTCTCTCTCTCTCTCTCTCCAGGTACACAGCCATGTGAGGGCCAAACAATTAGACATACCTTGCTTCATAGAATTTAGCCTCACGTCTCGTCCTGATCTCGTCGATTCTCCTGATCGCCTTCAACGTGTCCACAATGACATTCCTGTCGTACCGCACAGGCCTGTTCCTCTTTCTCTCAAGATCAAAGGTTGCATCCTGCAACATACACGCACATCGCCAAGCAAGACTCGGAATTAAAAAAAAAGGAAGGCAAAAAAGGGAGGCTGAGGTAGGTATTCCAGAGGAAAAAAATGTTAGTACGTACTAGGTAGAGATACTTCGTACATTTTCGCCAGTGTAAATTTAACAGCTTGGACCTGTTTTGTTTGTTTGTTTGTTTGTTTGTTTGTTTGTTTGTTTGTTTGTTTGTTGTGTTCGTTGTTTTTTTTAGGCTAATCCTTTTAAGGCCAACCAATTCAAGCACCTGTCAAATCTGTTCAGCCACATCGTTTTCAAGGCCTTTTTGTTATCTTTTTTATTATTATTATTTTAAAGCCCTTTTTATTATAATTACAGTATTATTGCAGGGAACCCCGTAGCAGCCACATCGTGTTCAACGAGCACCCACCAGCAGGCACGATACCTACTTCAGCAGGTGGGCGATGCCAGCCAGGGGTCAGCCGGTAGCATCAGGACCAAGCTTCTTCGATGGGCCAGTCGCTGTGCCTCCCGTTTCATCGTCCCCCTCCTCCCCCACCCCCAATGACCATGAGCAGTCTCTGCTCGATGCCGCTCAGGGGGTACCAACAACCTAGCTCTGGGTGGCGGGCACCCAAGCTTGCCCAGGAAAAGGTACATGCGGCCAATGGGGATTGAACACAAGACCTTCTGAATCCCACCTGTGTGCCTTACCAACTGGGCTACCTTCTTTCCCCGAATACAATGTATGGTCATTATGGCTGCATCTATACTGAAAGGTGCCTCAAATACAGCTATAAGCCTATAATAATGACCGTGCGTTGTATTCAGGGGAAGAAGGTAGCCCGCTGGATGGACCTCGTTCTTCGGTTGGGCAACTCTTTTTTTTCTTTTTCTTGAATTTCCCCCCCCTTAAAACGACAAAAAAGAACTTAAACCACCAGTACCTCGCTCAGCTATCAGCCGCGGGCACTCCCGTATACGCGCCGCAGCCCTAGGGGGGTCGTTCAAGGGAAGGCCCGGTCGCTGCACGAAGGCCGGGCTCCGCTTCCCTAGGAACGACACACTTGAGAAAACAAAAAAAAAACAAATACACAAACGAACAAAAAAAACGAACGGACAAAAAGTTGAAGTCGCACAGGAGAGAGAGAGAGAGAGAGAGAGAGAAAGAGAGAGAGAGAGAGAGAAAGAGAGAGAGAGAGAGGGGGGGGGGGGGGGGGGGCGCGCCCCCCCCCCCCCCCCCCGCGCCCCCCCCCCCCTCTCTCTCTCTCTCTCTCTCTCTCTCTCTCTCTCTCTCTCTCTCTCTCTCTCTCTCTCTCTCTCTCTC